GCTGAATCAAGCTTGGGAGCAAATAATTATGCATATGTTAGTTTGTAGACGCTGTTTTGCTGTATAGCTGCGTATCTAGCAGAATGTGTATCCACCCAGCCTGATGTAGATTCCTCAGATTTGCTATGATGCTTATAAAATTAGTCTCAAAAAAGCTTGTGGCACTCAGCTTGGCTCTTGGAACTAGCAAGCATCAGAGGAGTTAATAGTTGGAAAGGAATTGGGCTCCGGACATTCAAGGAATTTTGGATGCTTGCTACGGGCAGGAAAGAGATGGTTCTTGTGTCATTTTCAATCTGTGTTCATCTTGAGATACATACTTAACAGAGGCCTTAATTTGGTATTTGGGCGTAGGCATAAGGAATACCTAACTATATCCATGGTAGCTGAGCTATTCTGTAACCTTAAGTAAGTTGGGGTACGAACTGTGTGTTTATTAACGTGTGCATTACTCTAATCAAATCCAGGCTGGAGGAGAGATCACATCCAGTTACGGTATAAAGACCCTTTCCATCTGCACCAGAAGTAACAGACAGGCTCAAGAAGATCTAGTGAAGTCAGATAAAAGTAAGCGACAACTTCACTAATTGAATACTGAATGCAGGGATGTAATCTTAGTATCATCCAATTACTTTTTTTCCCTCTAGAATGGAACTGAACACTGGGTTTTACTCTTGCAAGACGTTAGCCATGTTTTCTGAGTAATGTGCCATTTTACCTCCTGAAATAGTGCTTAATGAGCATTAGCTCTGTGTGGCTGGAAATAGGCACATCAGATAATGAGCCTGAGTTATAGAAACTGCACGTTAGCCTAGTAAAATGGCCTGATGTGCTTTTTCAGGGCCAGAAGTATGTGTATTTTGAAAGCAGTGCTTGTAAACTGTAACTGAATTGGGTTGTGTTTTGTGAAGTTAATAGCTAAAATAAGAAACTGCATTTAGACTCCTTATTTCCAGAGGTTGAGGCTGTTTATAAATTCTTTCCATTTAAATGTGGGTATTTGGCCTGGTATTAAAAGGAAATGGATATGGAGATAGTGACAATATCAGACCAAGTGTCTTGGGGTATTTTCAAGTATATTCACTCTAGCCATGCGGTATAACACTACTTAGATTGCTTTAAAATCCCAGTTCAATTAATGCTAATGTTATGACAACAGAGAATACTGAAGTTTTATCTAAATGGTTAAACCTGTCAAGAAGCTGTCAGTTCCCGTAGTTCAACTTGAACCCTAAGGATTTTCACTCATTAAAAGCCTCTCAGAGCATCATCTTCCTTTCATGCACCCTGTATTAGTTTCACTGTCATCTGTAGATGAAGCTTTAATTTTTCATATATAACACTTCACTCTCATTCTTTCCTCCAAAACTAATCTTGTGGGTACTAATCTTGTGAGAAGTCACTATTCCTTATTTTTGTCATCTGTTTGCTAACCCAGACATTGGCCTATTGCTAGGAACCTGTTGGAATCGTGCTGTAGTCCCATGACATTAAATTGCATTCCAGCTGGGCCACTTAGTTCAGCTTCTGCACCAGCCACTGTTGCTATCTGGAGCAGCACTGCCTTTTCAGAAGATACTATTGCAGCAGAAAAGGTGGGATGTGACCTGGAAGAACAGATGGGGCCATGAAAGAAAACCAAAGCAAACTTACGTAACCCCCAAGGAAACTTCATGCATGTGAAAGCCATGGCTGTATTTAATTTAGAAAGTGGCCTATCTGAATGTTTCTAGGTTCTGTAGCCTGAGATGTTGCTGCTGCTTACAGATACCAGCAAGAGCTAGACAACTCTTTGTCAAGAGAATAGACAAAATACTCTGCTGCTGTACATTAGTGTAGGTTACAGAGGTAGATGAGCTGAGCTGCTTTACTTCAGCTAAGGATATAATAGCAAGCTTATTAATCTTTCTTTTTTTCAGCTGTTCTTTCCACAGCAGCATTTCTGTCTTAAGACGTTTAGCTTGGCCCTATAAAGGCTCTGCTCTGTGCTTGCCCAGCTCATACGGTGGGGTGCAAGGCCAGTACAAGATCTTGATCAGCAAAAGTGTCACATGTTCAGTTTCAGAGAAATATTAAACAAATGCAGAAACAGAGGCTCCATGCTAAAGAACCTCTTCAAGTGTGGATTCAGTTTTGTGAGAAAGACATCTGGGCAGGTGAAGCTGAGACAGCATCCTGAATCCTGAACCTTGCTATGAAATTCCCTCACTCCTCTCGGTTTTCTAGAAAAATGCCCAACATGGAACAGTGCTCACTTGCTAATAGTTTAGGTAAAAACAAGAGAAATATCAGTGCTACTTGAAGAAATCTGCGTGCATTCTGTACAATTAATCTTTCCCCCAGGGTTCAGTGTGCTGCTGAAGCTCTTGGACTCAAAGAATGAAATGATTGTGGGAAATGCTGCTTTCTGCCTTGGCCAGTGCCTTGCAGTTCCTGGAGCAGCGATGTCCTTACTGAATTCCAGTGTTGTGATGATTTTGTTGAAACATGCTGGTGGTGATGCTACAAGAACTTCAGTGCAGGAGAATGCAGCAATTGCTCTCGGGAAGCTTTGTGTTGCTGAACCAAGGTATTGTGAAAAAGAATATTGGTCTCCTGCACCATCTGGTTGTTATTGGGTGATAAGTCTTGAAAAACTGACCAATGTAAGTTGATTCTATTCCTAGAGCAAGCAGGTACAGGGTGGGTGATTAGCTTATATAAATAGTTCATGAAATCTATTACTCTTTCTCTAGCTGGAATTCCTACTTGTGGTACTGTCCCCACAGTTCTGCTTTAGGGCTCCTGTGTTGTTAGTTGTCTGTCTAACATGTTTCAAAGAGCTCATTTTGCATTCCTTTCTGATGTTAACCTGTGCTGGAAGAATGGAAGGAGGAGTGATGTTATAAGTTGGTAGAGGTCAGAGCAATAACGAGAGCAAAATAAAAGTACAAATGTCAGCCAAGAATGTCTGCTACTGCCTGCCAAGAGTATGCCAAGCTCTAGCTAGATGCAAACTGTCAACTGGATCTTGAACTGTATTGCAGAGGAACTGAGTTCAACTTGTTAATATACATCCTGAGCCACTGCAGAAAGCAAGGGATAATGCTTAGGTTCCAAAAGTTTAAGTACCTTGCTTCTGCTGGAGACACCAGATGAGTGGTAGAGAAAGTATCTGCTCTGAGACTTTCAAAACACTCCAGAGATAGAAAAGGGAAACACCTTATTTTCTTAGTTTTGTTAATTTGAAATGCCACCTATTTGAACAGTTGTCATGTATTATTTAGAACTTTCATTTTCCTTTTTGGTGGGGAAAAGTAATCCAGAAACTCTTTCTTATGCTACTTTAGGAGGAATTTATCAAATGTAGCATTAAACATCCTTGACAGTTTGAGCATGATGCATAGCAGAGCAGTGGAAGCTTAAAACTTTTATTGGTAGTCGTCTTATTCCCCCAGCTTTCTCTTGTCTTTTCAGGCATATTTTTCAACTGCGGAAACTCAATGGACTGGCCATCCTGAACTCTTCCATGAAATACGTGCATAGCATCTGAATTTGAGAGCTTTGAAACATGCTGTTAATATCACTTGCTGTTGAGTATTTTCTTTTTTTCTTCCTAACTCAAAGCATATCAACTTTTCAGTCCCTTTTCAAAGTTTTTGCTGGTCCTCCATAGAAGCCAGTAAAACAGTATCAATATAAGTACCAGGAGAAAGAATTTAATGTATTCTCTAGGCTAACGACTAAGATAACAGCTTGCATTAAGCTTGTCTTTGCTTTAATAAATTATGTTGCCCCTTCTTGCTGGCAAGTTCCTTGCTGGTTAATCACTGACCGAAGCCTAGTCTACTTTGGGTCCGGTACCCAGTGTATTAGAAGACAGTAGAAATAAATTATAAATTGCGAGTTGTGACTTTGAAGAATTTTTTTTTTCTGCCGTACACTATCCTCTGGTGGCTAGATAGTTATTCGGCATTGCATTTTGATTTGGGGGTGGGCTACAGTGGTGGCCCCCAGTGAGAAGCTTCTCAAGGCTGTCCTGGCTCCAGGTTGGACCTCACACTTTGCTTAAACCTCATACTTACCTGCTTAAATATGTTGATCTTAATTTAACTAAGCGCTCAGTCTTAGTGATAACTTAAAACAATGAGGCTTGTATATGAATTATGGGCTGTTTATTGTAGTAGCAATACACTTACTGTCTTTGTAAATTTAATGGTATCCCTTGGTCCTTTACTTTTGCGTGGAGTAAGAACGGTAGCTGACCTTTGTGACGTACCTTCTCATGGCCGCTTCTGTTCATCTGATCTCCTCTGCAGTTACTCATTTGTTAAACAGTAACACAAACAGCACATCCTTCTAGCACTCTGGAGAGGTCAAAAATTAATTACTACTTACAGCAAGTGTAATGTGAAAAGAAGGCAGTAATGAATTCCTCTTACGAGTTCTTCCAAAAAGGCAGTTTCAGATGCTTCTGGAAAGCATATCCACTGAAGACTGTGGTGGTGGTGCTAACAGAACAACAGCGACAGTACTGCTGGTGGAAGCCTGTCAAATTTAACGAATAGTCTCTTTGCAAATAAACAGATGCACATAAACACAAATCTATAGTAAAAGCTTGTAGAACTTAGACTAGACAAGGACTTTGGCCATACATACAATACTTTTTTTTTGCCTTGGTTTTGAATATGGGGAAACAAAAGAATATATTACATTTCTGTGAAGCAGCACAGGCCGGTCATGTTTGACTTTAAAATGGCTCTTGAGTTTCCCTCCTTGACACTTGTGGGTGTCTATTCTGTATGTAATCTTGTGCCTTCAGAGCAGTGGTTGACAAATTATATATCATCTCCTTTTCAAAATAGCAGCTGAATCATCTTCCTACTTCAGAAGAAGGAGAATCTCTTGCACCTGGTTTTTCTTCCTTCACAGTGAAAAGCACTTTTTTTTTTTTAAGATCCTACCGTTAAGTTACACCCTGCCTAGACAAATACATAACAAATACTGTGTGTAGGGTTCAAATCCAAATAACATTATGCCCTAACCTGACAAATACAAACTATTGTCTTAAGGAAAAAAAGTTATCTTATGTTTACAGAGACAGGATATCCGAGAGGAGCAGCAGGTGTAATGTGTCACCAGAAAATTACAGGAGAGTCAAAATCATCTTAAAAGTCTAAAAGCTAAAGATATTTCTTGGTTTTGACTGACAAGCTGGGTTTTGCTTAATGGAACCTTTCACATACCAGTTGCTATTGTCCCCAGAACAAAATGGTGATCAGGTAAGAAAATTGCTTCTAACTTCCTTCTGCAAAAGGTGTCTGAGAACTGATTTGTTGTCCTCCTCAAAAAGAATTACTATTGCAGAATTTTTAGGAGTGCATCAGGTTACCAGCAGGAACCATTGCTGTTTGGGTATATGAAGTGGACCTGAGCAGTCAAGCAGTTACAGAAAGGGCATTGAGCTTGTACAAGCTGTAGACCCATTTGAAGAACAAAGAACCTGCCAGTAGATCCTAGCTGGGAGTTGCCACGGGCTTATAGATCACTTTTGTAGCATCTTTATACTTATAAAACAGTTGCACCAGATTTTATGGTTCAGGAGTATGTCTTGACCTGTATTCAGCTAGTATAACTCATGACAGTCTGTGGGAGGAGACCCATGCCTTCTAAAGGGTAAGTGGTCTGCAGAGACTGTGAGTACGCTAGCTACTGTCACGAGTAGAATTATTCCTTTAGTTATAATTGTGAAGTTTCATGCTGTTTAGTCTTAACAGTGTGGTATGGTATCTATGCTGAGGTATCATGTTACTTTCTGTCTGTTAATGTGAGATGGGTTGAATGCAGATCATAAACTTTGATCACAATACCTAGGATGCAAAATAGCATATCTGTTCTAATCCAGGTAACACAGTCATACAGTCTTGGCCTCTCTACCATCTGTGTGAAGACAAGACCAGGCTATAGTTAGACTGTCAGCCGGTGGAAGAAGCAGAACACAACTTGGAGATGTGGAACTTCTGGAAATGGAGCTTTCTTTAAAGTGTATAATGTGTTAGCTAACGTGACAAATTACTGTGTGCTGGTTTTGGGTAGAGGCACCAACTAAAATTAAGACACTGTGTGTCAGTTGCTGTACAAATGCTAGTCAGGATAATTTTCTTTCCTAGACGGCTTAGAGTGGGGAAAAAAATGAGGTGTCCTGACCTTGGTTCCCACTTTCAGGTGAGTGACATGGCTGGGACTTGGTATCTCTCAGCACCTAATCTGTTGTACTATCTACTAGACTGTACTTTATCAGTTTGCTGAAGGATGGATAATGGTTTATTGTTACTTCCCTCAAGAGCAATCACCTCATCCTCGGTGTCTTTTGCAGTGCTTTTCTGAGCTGTCATTATGCTACTTATCTGACTTTTGCTTATTGTTTTACATATGATTTCCACTGCACTTGCAACAGTCATGGCTACATAATGTTCTCTCTTACCTCCTTAACCTGCATTGCTCTAAATTTCCTGCCTCCAAGAGTTCTGCTTGCTATTTGTGTGTGTGAAGGTGTCTGGCACTAAAAAGATGCCTGATGTAGACTGCTTAGTACCTTCAGGTGAATATTTGCAAGGATGCTAGGGCCTTATGGTTAAAGGTAAAACGGGTATAACTGTGACTTTGCCCAATAATCCTCTGGTCTCTTCTTCAGTTATTATGAAAGTTTAAATTGTGTGCTTGTTCTTTCACTATGGATCTCATTCCTGTCTCGATAAAAAGTTAGTTCAGGCTGCTCTGAACCAGATGGAGTTGCTGTACTGTAATCTGTTTCAGTGTGTGTTGGTTTTTCTCCATGTCACCTGAATTAAGAACACACTTTGCCAACGCTTGTAGGCCTAAGGAGGAAAGAATCCAGCAGGATTGATAGAATGGTAAAAGCAACACAACCAGCAGCCTTCCTCTGTGGCCTGACCCTAGCTTGGAGGGTCATGGGGAGAGAACCTCTGTCTTATTTGGGTTCACACAGAGCCAAATACCTGCATAAATGAATTGCTTTATTGAAGTGTCTCCATCTGGGATCCAGACTCATCCCTGTGTTATTTCTTAAGGCAAACTGGCAAAAGGCCCTTATTGGGTAGAATTAGAATTACAGAATTATAAAATAATTCAGTTGAAAGGGACCTACAACTATCATCTAGTCTAACTGCCTGTCCACTTCGGGGCAAAACAAAAGCTAAAGCATGTTAAGGGCATTGTCCAAATGCCTCTTAAACACTGACAGGCTTGGGGTTTTGAGCACCTCTCTAGGAAGCCTGTTCCAGCGTTTGACCACCCTCTCGGTAAAGAAAGGTTTCTTAATGTCCAGTCTGAACCTGCCCTGATGCAGCTTTGAACCATTCCCATGTGTCCTATCACTGGATCCCAGGGAGAAGAGCTCAGCACCTCCCTCCCCATGTCCTCTTCTCAGGAAGCTGCAGAGAGCTGTGAAGATGCCCCTCGGCCTTCTTTTCTCCAGATTAGACAAACCCAGAGTCCTCAGCTGCTCCTCACAAGACATGGCTTCCAGTCCTGTCAACAGCTTTGTTGCCGTCCTCTGGACACAGTCAAGTACCTTTTAAAATGGTGGGGCCCAGAAGTGTACACAGTATTCAAGCAGCATTTTAACCCTTTTTTTTCAGAGGTTAAGAGCTGCCTTGCATATGCAACCTTTCATGTTTACAATCATGTTTTCCATCTTTGCCACACATGTGAAGGCACTATTCTTTTGTTAAAAATCAAAAAATCAATTGATTCCAATTGGTGCAGGGTTTTTTTGGTGTTTTTTTTTGTTGTTGGTTTTTTTTGTTTGGGTAGTTTGTTTTTTTTTTTGGAACAGATTATTGGTTGCTGTCTGGTCTAAGCTCTTATAAAGTAACCCAATACTCTGCCCTTCCAGAACAAACACAGCATTTGCTGCCGATTGCTAAGAGGCAGCAGTAACTACCTCTTCTTAGCAAGCTGCTTCCTATCTGAATAGGTTGTTACTGGGATGACTCAGGAGCTGCTTCACAAGATGCAGGAAAAATTCCCCATCTTTATTTTGATTGCAGCTGGACTACTGGATTTATCTGGTGAGTGATGTGTTTTGTTCTAATCTCAATTGCTGTCTTTCTGCCTTCTTTTCCTCTATTATCAGTGAGCAGAAAAACTCTGCTAAATATTGTGCCATCAGTCTCAGGTGTGTGACAACAATGAGATGAAGGAGCAACTTTTCTCCATGCAGCTGTGCTGTAAGGCTCAAGATTTGGTTTAAATGGTTTCTATTGTGGGAGTAATACTGGCCCCTAATCAGGACATAGCTGTGCTACTTACCCAAGCTGAAACAATCCATTCCCCAACAAATATGTTAGCCCCTTCAGGCAGAGAAAAGCAAAGGAAAAATAGTGTCACTCTTCACAGAGTAGGTCCATGGCAGAACTGAGGATCAAACTCATGTCAGTTGAAGCCTTGTTCAGAATATACTTTTCCGGGCAGCACTGTTTATCACATTAGGCATGGACTCCCCTCTTCACCATGCATTAACACATTGTTCTGCATTTTCTTTGGGAACAGCTGTCCTGTCAAATATTTCTGACAGCATGAAATCGGTTATGAGTTTGTAATGTTGTGCCTCAAATGAGTTCCTAGGGCTTCTGCCACTCATTTCAGTCTTTGCTTTCTACCTCTTATTGTGTACATGTGAACATACCCTGCAAGTGTACATAAAATTAACTTGGCTAATGAAAGCAGTCTTGTGTCTGCAGGCAGACTGTTCTCTTCAGTAAAGATAAACTTGGGAGGTGGTGTCCAAGAATTTTCCACCTAATTAGTAATTCTATTCTTTTTGTGGGTTATGTATTTCAAAATTACCTTATCCCCTGCAAGGCGTATTTGTGGATATTTACACCACTTCCTTTATACAAGACCATGAATTAGTAAATGCTTGTTTTACAGACAGATTGCTTATGTTACTTGCCAAGCTGGGGCTAAACCGTGGGAGTTTCATTTGTTTATACAAAACCATAATTCAAAATACTTTATAGATTTAATGTACCAGTCTCCATCATCCATTAACTTCCATTTCTGTCTTAGCAAAATGTCAGCTTTTCGGGTTCACTTATACAAGTTTACCCTGCTCACTGTTGACCGAAAGTAGTACTGGTTTTCCAAATGATCACTGAGGAGTTGTAATCTCCTTCTAATGCACTACACCTAGATGGCAACCTCAGGGATTTCATCTCAAGCAAAACTGCTAATATAAACAGCAGAGGATCAGATTTATAAGAATGGCAGTGCCAGAGCTGCCCATCCCCGCTCCTGTACGGTTCCGAATGGAGCCAGTGGCTGCTTAACTTTCTTGCTAAGCCTGTTGCAAAGTGCTGCTGCAAGCTGATAAAAGCTCATGTACAACTGAATAGGCAAAGGGCTTGTTTTCTGTTCGTTAGGTGCCTTCAGGAGTGAACGTCATGTCAGTGAAGTATTAGGCCTGAGCTTTCCTGGAGAAACCCAACCAAGAGCTGAGAGCGACCCAGTGCCCAGTGAAGTGTTTTCCATTGCAGAAGGTAACTCAAATGAGGTGACCTTAAATTTTCAGAGTCCAGTAGTTGATCCTACCAGTGAAACAACAGCTGACTTCATTCCTGTCCATACAGAAACAGCTGCAAAAAGCACAGCTGTGCTGCCTGAGCAGTTGGTTAGAAACTTGGAGGTGCTTGAGCAACTGCACACAGAAGCAGCAGCTTTAAAACTCCAGGATGGACATACATTTCCTAGCAAGCTCTTGAGTAGGATAAGCATCCCTGTCTCCACACAAAGATCACAGGCTAGCACACGTTTGAAACAGCCAGACGGGTCACTGCAGGAAAAAACAGAAAATACTCTTGAGGCTGATTCTAGTCCTACCAGCTCTAGCACTGGGCTGCCCCAGCCCTTTCTCAGTAAAGGGACACCTCAAGACTCTCCTGAGTTTGCAACTGCTTCTTCCATTCCTGTTATCAAGCAGATTGAGGTGCTAAGTCCTACAATGTCTCTTCTGACTTCCATGGCAAATTTTCGTCCTCCAAGAAAAGAAATAGCAGCATCTTCATTTCCCACTGGAGTTGAGATGACTCTTGAAAGTGCAAGGGTGGATTGGTTACCAACAGGAATGCCTCCCACTAGCAAAAGGCCAAAAGACACAAATCCACAAGTCCAGCCTGACAGTAAAGCTGGTATGACACCTGCATACCTGAAGAAGTCTCAGAGTATGGATGCTAATGTGACAACTTCTGTATTCCTACAAAAGCCAGCTTCAGGAGACCTTGATGCAGTCCATTCCAGAGTGACACAGATAAGTGCTATTCGGTTTTCCCCTATTTTCTCTCTGAAGCAAGAAACAACAGGCAGTAAAGCCAAAAACTCTACAGCAGCTGTAGTAAATGGTTCTGGACACCCAACCCAGCTGCCTGCTCTTCAGACACTCCCACAAGGCAACATACATTCTTCTCCATTATTGATACATCTAGAAGCTCTAGCTCATGATGACTTACTTCCATCTCCATTTCAAGGACCCATTGGAACAACTGATAGACAACAGCCTCTCTCTTTGTCCAGGAATCTCAACTGTACTAAACAACATGATTCCCAAGAAACTAACAGCAGCTATCAAGAAATCGCAGTTCTAGATTTGCAAAGAGATACTGATCATCAGAAGATGACAAGTAAACCTGAAAAATCCAGATCCCCTGAGTGCCCACGGGCTTCTGCTAATTCGTCCTCATTAAGCCATTCATGGATTTCCACATTAAAACTTTCCCAAACTACTAAAAAGCTAGAAGGAGTAACATCTGCACTCGGTATGTCTGTCTTTGAGAACGCAGTCCTTCAGCCTGTAAGCACTTCTGATTCTATTCGTGCCACCAGCCACCAGCCCCCAGGTACATCTTTTCCTACTTATGTTGGATTGCAGCTAATGGGCATCCCCACCTCTGAGAAGGGACTTCAGGTACCAACTTCATCCATGTCTACTAGTTCTGGATCTCAAGTTCAAGGTGTTTCTGCCCATCCTGCATCTCAGAAAGGCTTCCCTATGATGCTGCAGATGAGCACAGTGGAAGACTACAAGAGAAAAAAAAGTCTCCCACAACACATAAGTAAAACTGGTTCTCCCCCACTGATTCCACAATCCATCCCAGTCCCCAGCCCCTCTGAACTACATGATAGTAGGGACCAGAAAGTTCCACTTCACAGCTTTGCCCCTTCAGCCTCCCAGATCCAGCAAGCTGGCAGCCTGGCAGCTTTTGCTTCAAAACTGCCCTCACTCCATGCACAGGGAAGCCAGTCCAGCGCAACAGCAGCACATGCTGAACTGGTGGTGCCCAGTGTTTCTGATGAGATCCCAGCATATCTGGCACAGGGCCTAGTGCAGCAGTTTGGTATGTCCCATGATGCAGCTATGAAAAACCTCAGTGCTTTTAGAGGTGATCAGCTTACAATGCTACCATCATCCCCATATTTGTCCTTTCTGCTTAAAAGCACTAATGGCAAGATATGCCTGCAGCCCATGCAAGATTCTCTTCCATTTACTAAATTCCCAAATATCAGCGTTGGGGGTCTGGTTTCCATTCAGCAAATCCTGGCAGCATCGAATTCTTCAGTGTTGGACCTCCCAGATTTACAAAATCTGAGTCATCGTAGCTTAATTCTGGTTAAGCCTGTATTTGTCCTCTTGCCCATTCACAGACCAGATTTACAGATGGTGCCCTCTCCTGAGGGTGAAGATGACCACAAAACTGCCCTCTTGTTCACAAACAAGAAAGATCTGAATTTGGATACACCTGAAAATAGCCATGATATTCCAATGAAAACTATTTCCTCTTATCCCGCTAGTAAGTCTTTGAGGTCTGAAACTACTCTCTCCTCTGTGTCTAACCAACAAGCAGAGAAAACAAAAGTAACTTCTCAGCCAGTGCTAACTAATCCTAATTATACAACCATCACAAGTTTGTTGCAAGTTTTTACCTCGGCACCAAATCATTTGCTGAACCCACAGCTGAGGATTAGCGCTACAGTGCCGGCCATGCATCTGCGCAGGCTGCCTGAAGAGAGGCAGGTACCCGCTCCCAGTTCCCAAGAGGCCAAGGGGCCTGATTTGCTTTTACTTAACAGTACATCAGCAGAGCCTTTTGCCTCCACTGTGTCACCATTAGTGGTGTCTGCACAGCATAGCCACCCTATCTCCCCTGGTGTGTTTTTCACCACTGAAAAACCACATTCTTCTTCTGTCATTCCTTTATTGTCAGCAAAGGGGCCCTCTGCTTTTCAAATGCCTGCCCAACGTCCATTTACAATCACAGGGACTGTAGATCAGGTTCAGCACAGTAAGAAACTAATGCTGCAAACTACTGACCATCACCAAGGCTTAGTGACCACATCTTCCACTGTCCACACACAGTGCACAGACTGTTTGACCTTGCATTCAGCTAGAACCATAAAATATCCGTTAAAGATGTTCACAAGCATCATGCCTTTGCAGTCCACATCGCAAAGTCTCCCAAGAACTGAGTTACTTCAAAGGCTGCCATCACAAGGTTGGTTTGTACCCAGCACTTCATCAGCTTTCTCAGTGCTTCCAGCTGGAAATGACAACAAAGATTCAGCAATGGGCAGCATGGCCTGTTCAGGAGGAGTCACTGTGTGTGCGAAAGCAGCACAAACCCACACCACTTCTATAAAATCTGATCTTAAGAAACATTTGGAATATACTCCCATTGTGCTTAAGCCCTTTGTAGTGACAGAGAGAGCAGCAGTAGCACCAGCACATACTTCACTTTCAACAAAGGTCCAAATGAAAACAGTGGTTTCTGGGAAACTTCTGGCTACGATTACCCATCCAAGGATGCATACCAGCTCTCCTGCAAGTCCACCTTCACCTGCGTCTACACATGTTTCCCTGCTATCAGCCATGAAACATGACCAAATCCCTCGAGCCCCTACTACGCTGTTCTCACAGGCCAACATGGGAGAAAATACAAAGCCAACTGAAATCAGCACAAGTGCAAGAAAGATAGGAACTGGTAAACTCTTGGGAACAAGTGTGTCTCTGTCAGCCATCTTTAACATAACGACACAGCAACCTCTCACAGCAGATTTTGGCAATAAGGTCGTTTTAACCCCACTACAAGCGTCTGCAGGATCTATTCTTGTTCTTGAGCGACAGCTTAAATTGACACAGACCACATCACAGTCTCCATCAGCAGTGACTTCTCTCTCTGTGGCTAAGAATGATTATACTGCCACTTCGCTTACAAACAAAAAAGTGTTTCACCTGCCAACTTCAGCTATCCAGTCGGATCCAAATGTGATGCTGCCTACAGTTGCCAGAGTGAACAGATCAGCTGTGGTCCCTACATCAGTGGGAAAGAGTGAGGACATGTTAGTGAAAGGAGATGCAGCCACTGCTAGCCAGCTGCCCACTCAGACACCTGTGTCTTTGTCACATCAGACATCAGCAAGACACCTTTTGGAGCAGGTATCGCTGGAAGATAACACTGAACATGAAAGTGGTCATTCCAGCCTTGATGCTATTGTGCGTGCTACTGGGCCAACTACAACAAAAGCATTTTCTGTCTCTGCTAACAGGCATGGAAATAAGGTTACTAATCAGTCAGCTGTCTTCAGTAAAGTAGCTGTCAATGACGCTGAGATGCCTCCAGCCAGAGATCTAATCCAGTTCCTTCCAACCTCAGAGAGCCCCTCGTATTCTTCTCAGAGTCTGGTAGTGCTTACGCCACAGGGGAATTCCTTGCTGGATGTTGCAAATGCTGGACAATCCGAGAGGCTGTTCTTGAACACAGAGGCAGAGGAGATGGTTAGAACAAACGAAGTAACAGAAGAAGCAGCTGAAAGCTTAGTAACTGTTCTAACACTGCTGGATTCAGAGCCCAGTGCACTACTGAGTGAATCGCATCAGAGGAGGGGTTTGCAGTCAGATGCCACCGTTCTGAATGGGTAATTATCTCAGTGGAGTTGCTGTTGCGTATTTATGCTGTGTGATTTAAGGCGGGGGTGGGTGGGTGGGTTAACATCCAAATTGCTCCGTGGCCTCAGTAACATGAGTGCGCTGTATCGTGGTTTTAAAAACGCTGAGTTCGTTCATCAGTGATATCACAATTAAAAAAAAGGTTTTTTCACATTTTGGATATTAACATTGCCCTTCAGACCAACTTTTCTTTTTCACAATAGCCTCTCACACTCCACCTCTCCTCCCAAACACAATCTACGTGCAATCTTGCAAGTGGGAACATTTGATATTGCTTAAGTGATCAAATGTGCTAGCAAAGATGAATATTCCCAGCAGTAAAACATGTCCAAGTTCCCCTCAGTTCAAATGATTGGGCTGTGCAGAGAGGTGGTTCTGGTCATGGAAGGTACTGTCATGCCAGGGTCCACATACTGTTCATTTGTTTCAACCTACTGCTTGGTTTCACCGAGGAAACTCACCTTAATGCTGTTTTATTCCTAACAGGCTGTGGAGCCTAGCTGGACCTCAGCTTTTTTTCCTTCTTTCCTTAAAGCCTCGCAGTTGTGAGTGATGATGTCTGCGGCTCCGGTAACTACACTGTGCAGATGAGCTTGCACCCTGTTGCAGAAGGGTCGGTGCCTTCCCAAGAGACTTTCCTGGCTTTAGTCGCTGTGCAGAGTAACAGCAGCCAGCCTCTGCTCCAGATTCGGTCGTGCTGTGTGACACCTTCTGCCAGCCCAGGGGGACCAGGCGCGATGTGCTGCCTGTTCCACAGGTCAGACACAGAGCTGCAGGGATGGGTGTAGCTTTGCACTGCTCTTTGGGCCTGGGCTGGGAATGGGCTGGTCCTTAGAGGACTCTCTCTCTTATATCCTGTGGCTGCAGTGATCTCTTTGGAGTTCAGAGTAAGCTCAAAGCAGCAAGAAAAAAATCTGAGAGTGGGCTGCTCCCTTAGCTGTCTTGTAATTAATATGAAGGGCTTGATAAGACAAAGAACCCTCAGGGATAAATTCTCCCTTCACCCTTTTGATTTATGTCGGTAAGCCTTTCTGCTTCTCCATGCCGTGCTGTGACAGATGTCAGGTTTACAGCATCCTCTTGCGCTTCCTGCTAAGGGGATGGCACAGCCTAGGAGCAGAGCAGTCCAAGGATGGGAGCCAGGCTTCTCCAGCAGCCTCCATTTCCCCATCAGCATTTCATAACTATTTTTGCCTCACCTGTCTAGGTTGAGCACAGGGAAATTGGAGGATTCATTAGTTGATGCTTGTTAAACCACTGGGGCATGGAAAGTGCACTGGAACTGCTACGCATTATCGACATCAGTAAAAGAGCTTTCTGATTTGCCCCTTTTGGCTATAGCAGGAGATCACCTCTGCAGCGCCTCTGAATTTGTCTAGGTCAAGGAATGATTACTGCAGTACAGCAGCCATTTTAATGGTTTTAGCAAAATCAAGAAACAATTCGGCTACTTGAAGGCTGTGGCCTCCACAGAAGGAACAGGTACAGCCCGAGACACTGACATTTTGTGGATTTTTGTTTAACGCTGACTCTGCAGATGCAGGTACCTGGCTTAGAACTTGTGCAGACCTGTGTCAGCAGATGCCCCTCTTCCCTGCCTTTAGTCAGGGAGAGCTGGAATTTGAAATTGTTTGCCATTTGTCCTTGCCAGGTTGCCGTTTGAATGCAGGGACATCCAGTTACTGCAGAGCAGTAAATCCAGAGCTGCTAGCTTCACCATCCAGCTGTTCCAGATGCTGAATCACTCAGTGGCCTATTTGCACTGTGAGATTAACGTCTGTCAGCATGGCAAAACAGGATGTGAACAGGTACATGGGATGGGTCCCTTCTCACTGGTCTGAGGAACTTCTGGAAAGATTTGGTGCTTCTAGCAAATACAGTCAATTCAGTAAAGAATCTTAATGGTAGATTATACAGTTCCACCTTCTTCCAGCTCACACAGTTCATTTTCAATCTGCTGCATATTCTGTGTCTCGTGAAGCCCCAGCTGAACTTCCACTCTGCATTAAGCCAACTGAGCTCACAGTGCTTTATTTTCAATTTACATGTAATCGGCATAAGCAACATATCAACAAATAAGCAAGTGGCAACCTTATAGGAGAATCACCAGGAAAAGGCTCAGCAGAGCTATATAATTTTGCATCGTAGAATTATGTGAAAGACCTTAAATCTGCCTCTGTATTGGATTGGTCTGGGGTATGGAAGTTTTCAGGCTTCCACAAGCTTAGAAGGCTCAGGGATAAGGCTTCTGTGAAACACTATGCACAGTGTCTTGTACTTAGCCATAGGCCATGCCATGGATTTAAAAGGCACAGAACTATAGAAGTAGTGCAAAGAAGCATTTGAGAGGGATGTAGAAGAGAGTTTCATGGAAGTCTGAGTGGCAGATCTGCAGGAGAGAGCTAGAAAAACTCTGAAAATTCAGCCAGTCAGCCTGACCCTGCTTTAAAGAAGCTTTGGCAGGAATTAGACAATCAATTGCATGGGCATGTGAAGGATGAACATCTGCATCTTGCATATGTCCTGCTTCCTCTAACATCCTGACTTGCAGACACAACCACTGGGCCTAAAAAGAGGGTTGGACTCTCTGGGAAAGAACTCAGCCATCTCCTGTAACAAAGTCACTGCATCAGGATCATCCCATATCTGGTCAATCCCTTTGATAAAAGTCTGGAAGATGATGTAATGACATGAAATGGTAGCAATAGTTGCTCATCCCTGAGGAAAAGGGCTTCGGGAATAGAGATTTACATATGGGCTGGTCCAGTATTAGGCAACTCACTTTTTGGAATGACAGCAGAGCTGGACAAAGACTGAATCTGAGACCTGCTCCGATCAGCACTGTGGCTGCTGTGGACTGCACACAGTTGCTAGTGCAGGAGATTCCATTCAGGTGCCACCAGTGTGCTTTCAAATGTTTTTCACATGTCTTTCCCAGAACTGCTTTGAAACGGCAGAGCCATTTCTCCAGTCAAGTGACAGGAACAGCTATGGAAACCTGCACAACCTGATCTCATTTGGTCCGGTTTTAAGAATGAAGAACAAGTTTCTATATAAACCTGTGGAAGGTGGGTGTCTGGGGTTTTTTTGTCTGTCTGTTGCATAAGTTTCTGCTTGACTTTTCCTGCTATAAGAAAAACAGTACGCTTAACAGATTTCTTGATGGCCATCTGATATGACTAGATTATATCCCAACAACTCCTCACCCTTGTTTTGGCCTTCCTAAATCCCAGACATGATGGTTATTCAGTATCAGATCCGATAGCCTTTCTGATGGGAGACGCAGCAAAATGCATCCTCTGCAGAAAGTGAAGCTTTAGAAGGAGGAGGGGAGAGAAAAATAAGGCAAAATATCCTTTAGCTGAAAAGAATTTTCCTGCATTTTGGTATATTTTGGTGAAATATGTTCACTGAGGATGAGGAAATGTCATTAAAATAATTGTGAGAGATATTCACTAACGCTTTCCTTCAAGTGTCTGCATTTTAGGTGAGGTGAGTTGGGAGGATTCAAGGTATAGGGACCTCCTTTTAACTATTTTTTTTCTGTTAGCTTTGCAGCTTTTAGAATAAAAGAGCAATGCAGCCATTTTCTGTACTGAGCTGAGGGAAGATTTGCCATATTTAGAAGTAGTTATCTGATACATTAAGGAAACAACATCCACAGGTAACTGGACAAAAGTGTAACTTAAGAACATTAGATACAGAATGAGGTTGGTCATGAGTCAGGAGTGTTGGGTTTTGGGTTGGTTTTTTTTTCTTTTTCCTCTGTTTATAGGTGAAATACAGCACCCGGTTCATCTTAAATAGATGTTGTCCAGCTATTAAAAAGGAGAGATGATGAACGTGGTACATCATGAGCATGAGAGACTTCTTAAATCTACTGGCACCATCCCTGAGAGTCACCTAATTTCTTGTGTCTTTACTTGTTTATGCAAAGAATATTTACTGCTGGGGTCTAATGGCAAAGAATGTAGTAGTTTGGGAATGCACTACACATTCAGACTACTCTAGGAATAGAAACTTAGCCATACCTGCTTGGCATGCCATAAAGATGAATGGGAGTTTAACCTTCTCTTTCTTCTTCTTCCCTCTCTTAACGCTGTTCACTCCTTGATTACTTCTTTCTTTATTTCCAGGTCCTGATACTGCCATGCTGGTACCCATTCTGCTGGGATCCCTTGCTGGCTTTGCTGTCTTGGGCAGTGCCTTCATAAGCCTTTGGCTGCATCATAGACAGAAAACCAAAAACATACGCTATCCACAACTTGGAGAAATCTATGGCCTGTGAACTAGGAGCAGCTCCTTTGTCCTGCAGATCCCACGCCACTGCTACAATGATCAGAAAAGCAATTGATTTTGCTTTGCACACTGTATTGCTTTTGCAGAGCTTCTGCTGATGCAGGGAGCAAGATATCCAATCTCTGCTTTAAGCATGTCTCTCCTTCCTTTCTTTCCTGCTGCATGAGTCCACAAACTGCAGAGTCAAGAAAGAATTGTAGTAGTGGTCCAGCTACAAGGGAGAGCAGCGCTTAAAATGCAGTATGTGCAAGCACCAGCACACAGTCTGTTCACAGAAATGGGAAAGCAGACAGGAAATCAGTGTGCAGAAGAGCCACATAAAATAAAGCACTGTAGACTAGAGCCATGCCATCAAGAAGAATAAATTGTTAGGCAAAATGATGAAACCCAAGTTTATTGGGAATGTGGACTGGACCCAAGATCTCCAGAGATCCAGCCACTCAACTTTACAGCTTTTCTCATGTCTAAGGAGTCGTGTCCCTTTATCCTTTTGCTTGACTCATGTTACTGTTTTCTCACTTTCAGTGGAAGCAAGTTTCCACTAACGCCCTGTTGGTAAAATCCACATAGTGGGAGAAAGTTAAGAGTGCAGAATCATTGTCCATAGGGCTGAATGTGAGAGCACATAAAAATATTTCACCACATTTGATGTCTAGGTCCAGTTTCTTTACCATTGTTGCCAGAATGCAGGTAGGAAAGGGGCCACTGCTAGAGCACTTTGTGTCAAATGCAATGGAGGAGTAGCTCGTACTTCCCTGTGGATCAGTCTTCCTCCAAGAATTTCTTCAGATCTGATACGTAGCTAAAAATCCCAGGTCAAGACTCCATGACAATTACCCTTCAGAAATACCAATGAGCATGTCTATTGCAGTAGCACAGAGGAAATTGGCACCGCCGTGTATTTGACATTGACTTACCCACAGAGATAGTCCCTGTGCTAAGTCATTAAAGACATATATGCAGGAGAACCAGATGAGTGTCGTTAAACCCTTTTTATAGGGAGTCAAGACATAAAGCAACTGCAAGCATGCGTGCACCAATATTTAGATAGAGCCAGGAAGGAGTTCAGCTCTCCTGTGCACCAGCCCTGCTCTTTAGCCAAAGGACTGCTCTCTTTCCTGAAGTGAGTTTGTAAACAGGGGCTCTGAGGCTGACACATAGGTTCTGTACATGAGAGCAGTGAAAGGAACAGCATAAAGAGCTGTATGCTTTTTGCACTGAAACGCACCTGAAGTGCAGTCACTTTTGAAGTACAGCAGCCTCTTAGAAACACAAATGCAAGTGCTTTGTGGTTCTGAAGGAGTCTGGCATGGTGCCCAGGTACAGCTGCAGGCAGAGTGGGGTGCCACATCCTGGACACCACAGTTGACACAATGGGGGGCCATGGCTGGCAGGCGGCAGGGGGTTAGGAGCTTCTTTGCAGCGAGGTGTCAGCAATCGCCTTGGCAATGAGAGTGGCAACTGTCAGGGGACAGGTCGGGAACCGTCTTCCAGGGAATCGGCAACAGCCTTTGGGGGGACAGTAATCGAGCATCTCAGGGAAGGGGTCCTCAGCGTTCATCTTGCCGTGGGTGAGGACACGAGCATCTCGGTGTGAGGGGCTTCAGAGTCATCGGGGTGAACATCAACAGCCACCCCAGAGGCTGATCAGCAGCAGCATTTTGCCCTTTTTTTCAGTGAATAAACCAGATAGAGTGCTATGCTGACTGTTGTGATAGGGCCTTTCTACCACTTTCAGATGTTTTGTTGGCACTATAAAGCTTTTGAGCATCCTAGCAGAAGTTTCCTGACTGGCTTTCCTTCCAGCTCTGCAATGGATGAGGTGGGACACCTCATCAGCCAAGGAGAGAGCTGCACAACTGCTGGCACAATGTTGGCTGTGGCAGCAAGAGCCAGGTTTGTCTTGAGTGATGTTCATTCTTTCAATGTGGAGAGTGTCCAAGGGTGTCAGTGGACAGGCTACGGGTAACTGCCATGTGGTGTTTCAAGTTTTTTCTCTATGTCCACCTTCCTACGTGCATGATGTCAGCTTTTGGGTTCCTGACGGGGAGCAATTTGATGAAGTTGCTTTTCACACCATTGCTAGGCAGGTGTCAGGTGAAACGGTTGTATCTATCCAGTTAATTGACAGTTTCCAGCAGCCAGAGACGGGACGGGAGAGCCTCTGCTACAGGCTGACCTTTCAGTCCTGTGACAAGGCACTGAGCCGCCGGGAGGTGGCAGAGAAGCAGTTGCTCTTTCGGAAGGAAATTGAGCAATGCCTGTGTGTAACTCTTCGGTAGACCGTGGTACATTGTTCTCAGGTGCACGAGCAGTGCCCGCGCTTGCTGCCGATGTGGAAAATGCAGCCAACATCCTGTCGGACCTAACGCTCCGTGTTATTGCAGTGCTTCTCCCAAAGGCGCTGTGGACTTCAAGTACCTGCACACATTCAACATGGGGAAATTCCTCTTAATGAAGATCAAGCACCTTCCCGTTCTGCGTGTGTGTAATGAAACCTCATTTTGAAAAGTGGAGTCTTTCTTTGCTAGGGTGCTGTGAGGCTGGGCTTGATCTCCTTACTGCTGCCACTTCACTTTTCCTATTCTTGTGTTTGCCGAGCACTTTGTACTGGTGGCAACTGTATCGAGTAAACTGGAAGAAGGAGGATCTTACTACTTCTGAAGGGTTGTGTACAGTTTGAGCACTGAAAGCTCTCTCTGGGCAGCTGCTCAGTCCCAGTGGGAGGGCGGTGTGTGCTGGGCTGCCCCGTGCAGCATCTCAGAAGGGGGGCCAGGGCCAGTGCTGGGCCTGAGGGGACCCCAGCCACGTGCACCAGCACACTATTTTCTGAATAGCTAATGCAGAAGGTAATCGCAACTGGCAATTCCATTACTAGACTCCAAAGGGCACTAACTGATGCTATAAGGCAGCTGTAGCACCGGTGGTGTGTTAATCGCTACAGCTGATCTAATGGCTGACGAAACACGCCAGTCACAGACCCCGTTACTGGAACCTGCGGGGACGCGCCGGGGAGCGGCGGCAACAGCTCGGCAGGCGCTAATCGGGCGGCCCGTCCGCCGACAGGCGGTACCGACCCTACGGGCCGCGGCCGTTGCCGGCGCCGCAGCGACTCCTCGGCGGCTGCCGCAGCCCCGGGGCAGCGCTGCCCGGCGGCTCTGGGGGGCCCGGCCCCGCCGCAGCCCTCGGGGCGGCCGCACGGCGGGGGCGGGGCCGGCGCTGCGGGGCGGGCAGCGAGGCGCGTGCCCCCTCCGCCGCGCGGGGCGCGGGCGTCGCGCGCCGAGGGCGCCAAGGTCGCGCGCCTGTGTGAGGGGGGGAGCGGGCGTCGCGCGCCTGTGTGAGGGGGGGAGCGGGCGTCGCGCGCCGAGGGCGCCAAAGTCGCGCGCCTGTGTGAGGGGGGGAGCGGGCGTCGCGCGCCTGTGTGAGGGGGAGAGCGGGCGTCGCGCGCCTGTGTGAGGGGGAGAGCGGCCGCCTGAGGGAAAGGGGAGCGGGACCCGCCTGGGGAGGGGTCGGTGCCGTCGTGGGGAGGGTCCGCGATCGCCTCGGGGTCGGCCGTCGCCGTCGTGGGGAGGGTCCGCGATCGCCTCGGGGCGGGCGGGCGGGCGGGGGTCGTCCATCGCCGTCGCGGGGTTCGCCTTCGGGGAGTCGGCGAGCGCTGAGGGGGGGGCTGGCGCTCAGGTGCCGACCCGGGGGGGCGCGGTCAGCCATCGCGTCAGGGGATGCGGAGGGTTCAGCCCCCGCCGGGAGCGGCCAGGAGCCCGGAGCAGTAGGGAGCACCTCGCACTCGTCCCTGCAGGAAGGACCGGATCGACAATTCAGTGAGAAAAGCTGATCCGTGAGTTTTTTTTCTGGGGAGGGTGGGGGGTTAGGGTAGAGGGGGTAGGTGTGGGAGGACGGCCGGGGGTCGGGTGGTGCTGTGGAGACCTCCCTCAGGGGCTCGGCGTTCCTCACGTTCCTGACCGCATCCTCCTGCCTTTGCACCAGCTGGTGGAGCAGAGAGGAGGCATCCATCCTGTGGCACTTGGAGGCGAGAGAAGCGGAGAAAGCCCGGGAGACCAGCGGCGGAAGGAGAAAGGCACTCTGGGCACAGGGACCTCCCTGTCACCGGGGCTGGGGTCACAGAAGAGCAGTGCCAGCGCCTTTGGAGCCCTGGCTGGCGTTACGCCGGGCGACCTCCCTATAACCAGGGCTTGGGTCTTTGCGTTTGCTGGCCTTGTGCCATGTTGCCCCATGGTTTGGCTGCTGGGAGAGAGGGGCAACCCTGTAAGGAGGGTGAGAGCCACCATCTCCACATGCAGAGAGCAGGGGGAAGCGGGGTTCCAGAAGACATAGTGTTGTGCTGCAGCCGGGACGGCCAGCCCATAACTCGGGAGTAGGTTGAAGCCTTGAGCTCCACGGGGTTTATTGAACCTGCCGAGCCAAGGGGGACCACCCTGTAAGCAGGGCTGTGAGCATCCCCTGCGCTCAACGGGAGGTGCTGGGAGGACCCCCTGTAATCAGGCGGGAGTCCCTGGCCCCAGCCTTTCAGAGGCGTGGGGCTGGGCGTGCCCTTCCCTAGCCTTCTTTCTCTCTGCTCTCAGCCCCAGGAGCGGCTTGGGAGAAAGAGACTTGTGGGGCAAGGCGGGAGGCTGAGGGGAAGAGGCCCTCTCTGGGCATTTGGGATGTACCTGCAAGCGGATCCTGGGTCCTCCCCGGGCAGCCTTTGGCCCTGCCGGGGCAGCCCTGGCACCGAGAAGCCATTTTAGGGCCCTGAGTTGGGCCGCCACCCCGGAAGCAGGGCTGGGGTCTCTGCGGGTTTGTCTCCCTCCAGGTCGCTGGGTACCATGGCAGTGAGAAAGGTGGCTGAGCCCGGGGGGGTACGGGGTGGAGGGGGGAGGGATGGCTGTGGGTTGGGGAGCGGTGTGGGGACCTCCCTCCGGGGGTCGGCTTCACTGTCCTCCGGGTGGAGGAGCTGGTGCTTGACTGCGCCCTCCTTCCAGGCAGCGGCTGCCGGAGAAGAAAGACACGGCACGGTGTGGAGCTGCGAGGCAAGAGTGGGCGAGGGGAGGACCGGCGGGCTGAAGAGAGGGAAAGGGGAGGGTGCTCTGGGCAGAGGGACTTCCCTGTCACTGGGGCTGTGGTCACACAAGAGCATTGCCACCACCTTTAGTAGCCTGGCTGGCTTTGCACCGGGCGACCTCCCTGTAACCAGGGCTTGGGTCTTTGCTTTTGCCGGCCTTTTGCCATATTTCCCCATGGTTTGGCTGCCCGGAGAGAGGGGCAACCCTGTAAGGAGGGTGAGAGCTGCCCTCTCCACACCCGAGGGGGAAATGGAGCTCTGCGGACCCCAAGCCCACCCTGTAAGCAGGGGAGGGCCGTTCCCTCGGCCCCGGCGGCTTTCTGCCTGCTGGCGGCCTGGCCAGCGAGACAGCCCTGTACCCGGGGCATGTGTCACGTGTCACGCCGTTTGCCCCTTGGCCACCCGGGAATCCCCTCGGCATGTCGAGGCCCCTCTGGCCCCCATGCATCCCGGGGGGCAGGTCTCAGGCTCTCCTCTCCTGCTCGGTGGAAGGGATGGCTCCCCAGACACTGGCTGCACAGAGCTTGCTCACTCTTCTGGGAAGTTCTATTTTTCCCTGGTCTGTGTCTGTGTGTGTGTCTGCGTCCGTATGAGTGTGTGAGTGAATGAGCTTGTTTAGGCCCCCCCTTAAAATCGCTGCAGCGCACTTAGCTTAAACTTCCCAGGAGGGAAAGAGGGGCTCTGTGCAGTAACAGGGGGTCCCCTCCGAGCCCACGAGCGGAGGGAGGGTCCAGGCTTACCCCTCCTTTCTAGAGGACAGAGCGAAGCCGCTTAGTCGTAGCGAGGGCGAGGTGACCTGCCTGTAGTCCGGGCCTGGGTCTCTGCCTGTGTGGCCGCCTGTCCTGCTGGCGAGCTGCCGGCGTGACAGCCCTTTACTGGGGGCGTGTGTCACGAGCCGTGGAGCCCTGTGTCCCCAGGAGCAGCCCGAGCCCCCTGTAAGCAGGGCTGGAGCGGCTGCTTTAGCCAGCCAACAGGAGCGAGCCCTCCCTCGCCCTTTAGAGGGTGCAGGTTGAGGAAGCGCTGTGCCCGAGGGCTCGGTCCCCCTGCCCTCGGTGCCGCATTTGGCTGGGGTGACCTCCCCACAGCTGGGGTCGAGGTCCTAAAGACGCAGTGTTGTGCTGCAGCCAGGACGGCCAGCCTGTAGCTCGGGCGCAGGTCGGAGCCTCGGGCTCTGTGGATTTTGTTGGGAGTGCTGTGCCGAGGGGGACCACCCCGTAAATGGGGCTGTGCGTGTCCCCTGCGCTTCAAGGGACCCCCTGTAAGCAGGCGGGTATCTGGCCCCAGCCTTTCCGAGGCAAAAATTGGCATGTTGTGTCCTCTTAACATTAAGAGAATTGGAATGGCGTCTAAAAACGTAGGGACCGGCACTGAGCCAAGTACCTCCTCCCGAGTCCTAAAAACCATCCCAAAAGCGCCAAGGACGCTCTTGTATGGCAGCAGCTCTGGTGACAGGGAGGTGCCTTTGCCCAGGGCGCTCTTCTCCTTTCAGCCTGCTGCTCCTCCTCTCGCTCGCTCTTGCCTTGCAGTTCCGCAGACGATGGATGCCTCTTTTTTGTTTCTTCTCTGGGAGCTGCTGCCTGGAAGGGGGGCGCAGTCAAGCGCTAGTTCCTCTGCCTGGACAGCAGAGGGGAGCTGGCCCCTGGAGGGACCTCCCCGCAGCGTTGTTCGGCCCCTGGCCGTTTTTTCCCCCCTCCGCCCTGTACCCCCCTGGGCTCAGCCATCTCAGAGCTGCTTTTTGCTCATGGTGTGGTGCCCCGCTGCCTGGAGGCTTAAAGAGCAGAGGCCCCAGCTCTGCTTCCGGGGAGGTGGCCGAGCTCAGGCAATAAAAGAGCCAGGGCAGCACCTGGGCCCCTCTTGCAGGCATGTCCCCTCAGCTTCCTGCTCTCTCCCTTGCTTCTCCCAAGCTGCTCCTGGTGCTGTGAGCAGAGGGACGGGGGACTGGGGTACGGCAGGGCAGGGCAGCAGATTCAGGGTGGCAAGCACTACTCACAGGCCCTAAATGCCAGCTGCTTCCCAACCAGCTGCTCCGCATTGATGCGGCAGCTTCTCCCAAGTGATGAGGAACCCCCCTCAGTAAGTTCTTCTGCCCAAGTCCCCAAAACCTCCCGGGAAAAGCCCTTGCCAAAGTCACCAGCCACCGCTACCCATTCCCCTGCCTCCAGGGCAGAAAGTGCCCAGCACTCTCGATAATGCTTAGCTGGCAGGTGGTGTCGGGTGGCCATGCCGTTAACGGGGTGTGGGTCAGGGTGCCCCTGAATCGGAGAGAACAGGTGTCCGTGGGCCTTTGGACTGTGGCTGCCCTGTAAGTCGGGGCCCAGCCAGTGCCCTGGATTCCCGAGCACTTTGCAGTTCAGGCCGTGGCTCGAGCCCCCTGTAAGCAGGGGTGCAGCCTCTTTGGCCGCTGCTTTGCATGCCCAGCGCCATTTGCCCGGAGTGCCCGCCTCCGAGCCCAGCTCCAGCACCGGCTGGAACTCCGCAGGCGGCAGTGTTAGCGCTCGTGGGAGCACCGGAGCACCAATTTGGTGAGAAAATCCGATCCGTGAGGTTTTTTTGGGGGGGGTGGGGGGTTAGGGTACAGGGGGTAGGTGTGGGAGGATGGCCGGGGGTGGGGTGGTGCTGTGGAGACCTCCCTCAGGGGACAGCGTCCCTTCTGGTGCTGAGCACGTTGTCCTGCCTTTGCAGCAGCTGGTGGAGAAGAGAGAGGAGTCATCCATCCTGTGGCACTGCGGAGCAAGAGAAGCGGAGAAAGCCCGGGATACAAGCAGTGGAAGGAGAAAGGCACTCTGGGCAGAGGGACCTC